TTAGAATACGCAGATGACATAGTCCTGTTTGGTGAAGACGCTGACAAAATGCAAAGTCTTCTGGTAGCACTGAGCAACAATGCCAGAATGTTTGGAATGCGCTTCTCTCCCTCGAAATGCAAGTTGTTGCTTCAGGACTGGTCTGCGTTAACACCTGAACTAAGGATAGGGAGTGAAGTAGTCGAACGCGTTGACAACTTCACTTATCTTGGAAGTCTGATCAGCCCTAATGGGTTGGTATCGGACGAAATCTCAGCACGGATTCGAAAAGCTCGTTTGGCTTTTGCCAACTTACGTCACCTGTGGCGAAGGCGAGATATCCGTCTATCAATAAAAGGACGAGTATACTGCGCGGCAGTCCGTTCTGTTTTACTTTACGGTAGCGAAACATGGCCATTAAGAGTAGAAGACACTCGCAAGCTACTAGTATTTGACCACAGATGCCTTAGAAATATTGCTGGCGTCTGCTGGGATAATCGGGTAAGTAATAGTGAGGTTAGACGCAGGGTATTAGGAAAGGATGGTAAATCAGTTGATGAGGTTATGAATCTTCATCGACTGAGATGGTTGGGCCACGTGTTACGTATGCCTGAACACCGATTACCACGACGTGCAATGCTATCCGGTGTTGGGGATGGTTGGAAGAAAGTTAGGGGCGGCCAAACCAAAACGTGGCATCAGTGCTTGAAGTCACTAACTTCTAGTCTGAGCCATGTTGGTAGATGCAGACTACTTGGTTGGGGTCCGCGTGACTATCGTAACCAATGGTTGGAGACTCTTGGTGACATGGCTCAGAATCGATCACAATGGCGTCGGTGTATACACTCGGTTTCTTCCCTTAAACTAAGAGATTAAAAGCGCTTCATATCTTTCTTTCTACTAACCAATTCTTTCTTCTTGTACTATATCTCTATATGCAATCTTTCTCTTATATATTACCACCTTTTACCTAACCACTGTTATGAATCCGGTGTTCATCTTGTTGTGCTGATGCGGTATGGCAACCTGGACCGATGCACATAAGTGCATGGTTCTACGTTGTAGCTGACTGACTGACTGACTGATGAATTCGATACAATATAAGTATAGCTGGTAACTTTGCGTTTATAGGCATTATTCATTTGTTATTGATATCTTATCAACAATGTAAAATAAAATATAGTCTACAATATCAAAAGTGTTTTAGTTATTACCGACAATACTAAAATAATGATTAATTTTCTTCGGTAAAACTACTGAATTCGAAGATATACCATTTTGACTGGAATTCACTAGTTTAAAGTTAAATTCATTTTGTATTATTTGTTTGTGTCTTCCCATTGATGTTTAGGACTGCAATTGATCAGTCTCTTATTACTATATGTGCATCCTGTTCGATACTGTCTTAAGTCACAAGCATTAAAAAAAGATGGATGGCGGCTAGTAGTGTAATCCAAATGGGAAGATACAAGCAAAAATACATAATGAATTTAAACTTCACCTCATTGTACAAGCCAGTGGTTATCAAGACTCAGTAACTAAATGAATAAAGCAATGGCGTTTGAAGCGAACAATATTGGGTTCTTATCCCGGAGTGAACATCAACTCTGAGATGCAGGTAGATCCAACTGACGAGTCTCAAAATCGAGCGAAATGCGCGTCCTGGATTCCACTACTAGTCATTGGTCTAAAGTTGCTATCATTGTCGCCACAGAATCTGTGGTTCATGTTTATAAATCTCAAATAACTTTGTAAATTTACGGAAAACTAATATTTAAAAAAAAACTGAGATTTTCTGTCAAATGTGTTTTTTGGAGCTTTTAAATGATTTTTCTAGCTGCTTTCAAAACACATTAGAATATTTAAACCAATTAACTTCACAAATAATCTGTTTAATTTATCTATCAAACAAATGAACATATATTTGGTTATAGTTTCAATGATAATGTTATGGGATAAAAAAAGTGATTTTATAAGTTTTGTTAAAATCATTACTGAATAAATTATTCAGGTCTTGCGCATAAGACCGAAGGTCATGGGTTCGAGTTCCGTGTGTGGGATCGTGGTTGCGCACTGCTCAAGTGTCCTATACCAGGACGAAACGGCAGTTCATTGCTCTTAGATTTTCAATAGTGATCTAGCTTAAATCGACTTATGAATTCAACTATTAAAAAATTACTACAATCTCCATAAACCCCTATTTTAATAGTATTCATAAATCCAATACAGTTTGTTCATTGATAGATTTGTTTGATGTATGATGTATATAACTACACATTTTTACTTTGATAATAATAAAGTTAATGAATCTTTACCTGTCACATTCCTGTTATACATTTATTCTTATCAATAAGAGTGGTCATAGTAACATAGTAAACATTTGTGAATAGTAATATTCTTTTATACAATACAAAATTATACACAAGTTTTTTTGATTATACTGATATCTTTGAACTACTTACAATATACTTTAACATTTTATTGTATAGATTCTATTAAATAGATATGTTATAGGTGAATGAATACTTCACATTCTGAAGACTACTATGTACTACTGCCTGAGAATAATAAATGATAACGAATTGTTATCTATTTAATTATGTCATCTATATATATATATATATATATATATATATATATATATATATATATATATATATATATATATATATATATATATATATATATATAGATGCATTGATTTCATTGTTTACCTTACAATTAAAAGATAAACAAACAAACAAATTAATTAATTAAACTTACATCTTCTAAAATACCTTATAATGTTTAAATGAAATAGTTTCAGGATTTTCAAATTCAAGTATCTCTTTTATTTTTATTTTATTTTATACTTTTCTAGTTAACTATACAGATTTCTTTTTCTATCTTAACAGTAGTTGAAATAAATTAGTTTTATATACACTGTAGTGTACTAACAACTGTTAAATTCATTTAAAAATGAAGGAATAATTTCCATAAGGTAGATCATTTATTTATAAATTGACATTTCATAACATTATAGGTTGATTTGGCCTGGACTATAATTAAGTTTTTTTTGTTATAAAATAAGGTATACAAGATTTATAATTTAAGATGTTAACAATAATTCACTTAAATCGAATGAACCATTGTTGCTACCTTGATGCGGTGGTCGGGCTTGCCTATTGTGATGAACTAATCGTTCCTCAATGTCCTACCATGTCAGGTATGTCGGTTGAAGAGTGGTAAGACTAAAAGCAGCAAACCCAAGGTTTGAAAGCGAAGTCGTTCTGTTGACTTTACAGAGGTGTGACAGCTATATGGGTGTTTCCTTCAGACAACCAGTATAACGGTGGTGCTGCCTTTCCACAAGGAGGGGTGGGGCTAGGAAAGGTCGACCCCAAAGATGCACACCTTACCTTATCCCACGAATATCCGTCTCCGGCGGTTAGGTTTCAACAAGTACGGAGCTAACACGAAAATTACTCATAAAAAGGTAGTGTGTAACTGACCTCAAGCAGTTGTACCCTTGAGCACTGCGGTCACGCTCTCAGGTCACTAAAACCACCTCTAATCCAATTTCCTTTTCAGGTACCTTCAGAAGAACCATTCTACGTTATGGGCAACTGGGAATTGATAACCGCTCTCATACCTCTAACAGCACTCAAGGCTGACTGATTGGATTAAAACAGTAGTGTATAAAAATCTAACTTTTACTGAGTTATTTTTAATCTATAGGAATTCAATAAATGTATCATTTTATACTCTAAAGGCAGGATCTTTTCCCCAGTTGTTAGTTTCTATCATTTATCTTTAATTGAGAAGTATTTCAACTACATTATACATTACAATTATCTTCATTCATCGGTATATTGAACGTGTTAATTTCAATATTATCGCTTTCTCGTTTCTTTAAGAGATAGATTGGATAGGAAATACTCTAGGGTTGTAGTGTTACCGTTAATGATCCTCAGTATTTTATATCACAATAATTTGTAAGCTTTTTAGAAAAGCGCATGACTGCGCTAAAATAAATTTAAAACAGGGTCTGTTCACAGCTATATTTACAGTGATGAAAACAGGTAGACAGATCAAACGTTTGAGTTAGACCCCAGTAATTGTAATAACAATAGCAATATAATTACATAACTGAAATAATTATCAATCTGTATTACATTATCATTAAATTTTCTATATAGACTATTAAAATAATCGAATTATTGTTGTACTAATAAAAACGGGTCGATTTATTATCTCCTTTTTCTGTAGTGATTTAGTGTATGAACTTGGCCTGATGAGTAAATATGCTGCATTTTGTATTGTGTATAACTAACTGACCGACTATGCAGTGGATATAGAAGCTCATTTTATTTTAGGTTTGTATAGATAAGATTATTTATTACTAAACACATAGAAACCGTACTTTCTTGGATGATGCAGTTCATAAGGTTGTTCCTATATTGTTCTATTTTTAAAAACCATAACTTCACTTTACTATTTAGTGATTGTTATAATTGGAAATGTGTAGAATGTTAGCTAATAGGATAATTTATTTCAAGTTATATTTATATTAAATAAACACTTATGATTTGTTGACACAACTAATTTCCTAAGGATATTGTATATTGCTATTTGACTGTCTGAGATTTGAGACATTGGGAGTGTGTGTGTGACAAGACTATCACATTTAGGTAAAGATGACAAGTCAGTCGGTTATTATTTATAGATCTACGTAATCTTCTGACTTCTAAGCTGCTGTCCTTTATGGTGTACAAGATTTCGTAAGCTGATGTATGAAGTCATTGAATAACACTTGCTAATTTGGTGTTTGGAGATTTCAGATAATTTAGTTAAAAATATAGCCTATTTTATCATGTGGACGTCTATGTGATCAGCTTAAAAGCACACATTAAGTGTAGTGACATTTTGTTGTATTTATTGAATGATTTTAATCATAAAGCTTCGATTATCTTTATGATCAACATCGTCAACACAAACTTCATATTGAAATAATGAGGTGTTTATTTTGTTGACCTTGGCAGGACATGAGACAACAACAACAAAAATGGTTAGTCATACGAGAAAAAATTCCAACACATCACTATCTGAAATTTTGAACGATCATATTGTCTCGAAAGGTAATGAAAATTTTACGATTAAACTATCTAGAATATATAACTTGACTTCACTGAAATCAAATGAGAATAATAATATCAGAATGGGGGTTTGTGGAGATTGGAGTAATTTTAATAGTTAAATTCATGAGTCGATCTAAGTTAGACTTTTGGTCTCAGACAATGGAAGAGGGGTTGTACTAGATCATGAATCGATTGAAGTTAGGCTCAGTGGTCTATAGGTTAGGCGTCCACACGCGAAACTGGTGGTTCTGAGCTCGCGTCCCGCATGCGGGATGGTGGATGCACACTACTGATTGGTTCCATACTTGGACGAAACGACTGTCCAATGCTTTCACGTATTAAATGGTGATATAGCTTAGATTGACTCATGAATTCAACTATTAAAATAATAATATTATCAGGCTTCCTTAAAATGTATTCGATGCAGTAGAGTTCAAATCTCCGACCTATCTCGTTAGAGGCCAAATACTTTAACTACTAGGCACCCGTCCTATAACAGTTTAAAAGGGAGTATTACTTACTCACTTACGCCTGTTACTCCTCGTGAAGGAGCATAGGCCGCTCACCAGCATTCTCCATCCAACCCTGTCCTGGGCAATCCTTTCCATCTCTTTCCAGTTGTTATTCATTCTTTTCATATCTGCTTGTATTTCCCGACGTAATATGTTATTTGGCCTTCCTCTTTTCCACTTCCCTTCAGGATTCGAAGTTAGGGCTTGCCTCGTGATGCAGTCCGATGATTTGCGTAATGCATGTCCTATCCAAAAAGCAGTAGACCTAATTCAGTTATAAATTGTGTAATTTTAATTTCCATATATATATACAAGGTCAGTTAGTCGGTATTTATTTGCATGTTATATACTTCCAATTCTTTCAACATGTTACTTATTTAATGTGTGCATATGATGAATTAATTCTAACACAAATACGCTCCAGTGGTTTCCTTTTTTTGCAAAATTTCTTATTTATAATTACACTCTATAAGCCAACCGTATAAATCATTATTACAGTTTGCTAGGTTACAATTTGCACGTAATTCAATCATGTTGTCTTTATTGCTTATCTGTTATAGTAGTTAAATAGTAAATTTGTATTTAGTTAGTATCAGTTACAGTGTTTGTGTATTTCATCTTTATTATTATTATTATTGTTATTATTATTAGTGTAGGGTTGTGGACGAAACGACCATCCAGTGCTTCCGGGTTTTCATTTGTGGTCTAACGTCGATCGGTTCATCATCTGTGTTACTATTATTGTCGTTTATCCCGCTTGAAGATTCTTCCAGTATTAAAAAAATTGAAACTACTATGATGATGATACAATGTTCCCTATTTAGCGCAATAATATTTTTTTCTTACTAAAGTTGTACAGTCTTGTATTGTATTGTTACCAAACGCATCACCTAGTCTTGCTAATAAAAATGGAGTATAAGTAAATCAATAGTTCGTACCTTGAACACTTCATTAGCTCTGGTTACATAGTCCCATTTGAATCGTCTTCCAACGTTATGCAACGTGTTTGAGAATCGAAAATTTGTGCATGAAAAAGGCAATAACAATCTATCAACTCAAGAACGATCGCATTAGATCTTTCGTACTACCATTTTTCTAATTCCTAATTTTTCACAATTCATAAGGTTCATTTTGGTAATCACGCAATATTGTAGATTATGCTGTTTGTGTTCAGTGAATATAAGTACTGTGAAGTTTTGTTTTATCGGTTACAGCAGTCACATTTCAACAATCAAGCCAGTTTTTTAAATCTCATCCCGTCAACTTCAGTCTAGTTAACTGCTTAATACCACCTAACCCAAACACAACACATGTGACTTAAGGTTGAATACAAAATCTTTTTTACTTAGTAAATGAGTTATTTTATCTACAGCTTCTCTATGTGGCATTATCGAAAGTACGTTCTTGATAGTTCACATCACGAATCTATCTTAGACAAGCAATGGAAACCAAAAAGCACTAAAAATGTTTTAATCTTGGTAAGAGACTCAATAAAAATCTATACAACATTGTGCAATCAGAATCCACATATGCTTACTGGCATACAACTTCAAAAAGGTAATTCCAGGGGTTTTAGTATAAAGGCATAACCAGTCATGTCCAACCATGTCAGGTATGAGATAAATATTATCAAGAACAGTGATTGATTGAAGTTAGAAATGTACACCATTGGATGACAGCTCAGATGCCTAAATACTAAGCGCTCATCACAAGACTTAATAATCCTGGTTTTGATCTACATTTAGATTATATATAAAAATTACTAAGGAGTCCTGCATTGAAATTGAAAAGACATTCCGTGCCTTCTGATTTTCACCGGATTGGTTGAGGTTAGATATTGACATCGTTGGATGCCGACTCAGTGCTCTAAAGGTTAAGCGTTCGCGTGCGAGACTGAAGGTCTCAGGTTCGAATCCCGCGAGCGGGATTGTGGATGCGCACTTTCGAGGAGTTTCATAATAGGACGAATCGGCCGTCCAATGCTTCTAGGTTTTCAGTTGTGGTCTAACATCAATCGGTTCATGATCTCAATCAAATAATATCTAACTGAAGATCAATTCGTGATCTAGACTATAATCTTCAATAATCTTTATAATGCGATCTCATAATAAGAACATGTCTTCTTTAGTATATTGAATTTATATAATTATTCCATTATTCACTATTTCTTTAATTTGTTAATTGAAGTTTGTCTGTTTTCTTTATTTTATCCTTTTCTATTTTCTCTATTTACTTTTTTTATAGATTGGATATTCTACTAATCCGATTGTATCTAAATCTTTAGCTGATACTAATCCATCTATTGAAATAATAAATAGATTTTCATATCAATCAAATATATCAAAATCATCAATTGATCATGTATTTGAACGTTCATCTAAACCGAATTCATTATATTTTATTCGACCAACACAACATGCAATTGATATGTAATGTAGTTATGATGGAAAAGAAAAATAAATAACTAAACAAACCATCAATTATTTCTATGATTATGATTAATTTTGTAGTGTATTATAATATGTGTGTACACTTATTTCTTTTCTATGATTATTATTTTCATTTGAAGAGTTCTTTTTGAAAAACAAAGAAACAAAAATAAAGAAAGAAAAAAGAAAACTCTTTACATTACTGATTAATTCATTATTGAAATGATCATATCATTCTTCGTATATAGTGAATGATGATATTGAACATTGAAGAATCTTCCGTTTTGTTCGCTATACTGTGATTACTACCAGTACTACTACTACTAGTTATATTACAGTACTCTTCACAAGAATTATATGACATTGTGTTCAACTTTCTTGTTTCTATCTTCATGTTTATTTATTTCTTTTATGTATTTATGTGCATATTTTACTACTTACTCTGTGCTAATCATCATCATCACCATCTTCTCTGTATTATGTATATGTGTGTGGGTGTGTGTGACTAGCCCATTGTATACAATGTACAATTAGAAAATTCTGATGTTATCTTTTACCCATTTACGATTGCTTACTGTTTTATTTTAACCATTGTTTATATATTTTTCTAGGTAAATAAAATTACTGATATCTGTTTGTTTTTTGTTTCTTTCTTTCTGTAAAAACGTTTATTCTATACAATTTAGGCTGTGCACTACTTGCTATACATGTACATCAAAAACAAACAAAATGCTTACATATATATACTACTTATTTAGTCTTCTATCTCTCCTCATAAAATATCCTTTACAATATATCTTTTCATTAATATTTCTATATTCTGTTCAATATCTTCCTTGTCTTTTAAAAACTAGAACAAGCACTATACTACTACTACTATTGCTACTTAAATCAAATTTCACACATTTCTCTTTTCATTTGATTTAAATTTCTTGACCATTTGTATAATATTTAAGAAAAGAAAAAAAGAAAAAAAAAGAGAACTCAGTAACTAATATCATTTTGTTTTTACCATGTGCATATCATATTTCATTTCTCTTTTTTTTCTAATTTTTTTAAATTTAATTAAAATGTAACCCTAATTATCATTTAACTTTGTTTATGAAACCATATTATTATTGTTAATGGGAATAATACTACTTATTTATTTATATGATGTGTATATTTGTGCAATATACACTGTACTAAATATGTGCGTATAAATTATATGTAACTGTATATATTTGCATGTGTGTATTTGTGTATGAAAGGAATTCTACCTCTTTATGAGTTGATTTGTTAAGAGTACAATAAATATTCAATAGTACAGTTAATAATATTAATCTAAATATACATAATATTGAATGTCGCTTAAATTGTCTTTTTTCTAGAGTAATTACATAAAATGTGTATTTATTATTGTTCCTTTTGTTTTCTTCGTTTTTTTTTTAAATTCCCAATATTATCTTTGATTCATAGATAATGTTCCCCCTATTTATATTTTCTTTAAAACTTTTTCCCTCTTTTTTGTTCTATTAACCACTGTTCTCTTTTCATTCTTTTAATTATTCTTTTCTGGACTGTTTGTTGTTTGTTTTTTTATCGCGAAATAAAGGAGATTGTTCTCTGAATGTCCTTATTTCTCTCTTGTTCTACACAAAAATGTAAATCGATGAACCAATGTCTTTCATTAGATAAAAAGCTACTTCTTCATTTTTCTCGTTGTTTTTCATAACTGATGTGATAAATATCACTCATTCTCTCTTTCTCCCTCTTTAGAACTGATTCATTAAGATCCTGTTTTTTTTTCTTTACCGATATTCATGGTATGCCTATGTGAAAAATGGATTTGGTTTATTCGTTTTGAACTATTGTTTCAATGTCACAAACTGATAACAACATAAAGATAGATATACTGTTTATATCTATGCGTGTTTCTGCTTGTATTGTTGTTGTTTTTATTTGTGGCAGTGTAATTACACCTGACATTCCAGCATTTAGTAATTTCATTCTGGAGTTTTATCTACTAATTCTCTCATTTTTTTTTGATTCACAAGACAATTATTTGCACAGTTTACTCAGTTTTTCATGGTTATTCATTTCTCATGTTTGTTTGTTTTTTTGTTTATGCTTCTTTAATGAAGCTATTTGATTTTCCCAATTGTAAACCGCATTTTCTCCTTTTGTTTATGTTGATTCTACTGTCGTTGGCGCTACTTTCTCTCCTTGTTATGTCTCAATTATGATCGTTTTTCTTTGTGTTTTTGTTTTCTCATCTTATCTTTCTCTCCAATTTGTTCTAAGTGTAATATCTCTCAGGTGTAAAAGACAAATAACGTGTCAATATTTTATGTGATATTGTATTATTTATGACCCGGTAGTGAATTAATTTGTCTAATATGCCTATCACTTATATTTCTATGCATACTGTTATGTAAGTTATTTCCATTGGCTTTGATAATTTCGTCAGAGCTGCTTTCCTTTGTGATTCCGCATATATATATATATATATATATATATATATATATATATATATATATATATATATATATATATATATATATATATATATATATATATATATATATATATACTGATGTAACATTCCAACATACCCAAATGCAACATAGTTATATATCTGACTACACAAACAAATGTATATGTTAATTTATAACACTAATATATCACTGTTATACTCCATATGGATATATATATATTTATAGTTACATATATACGCTGACTTCTGCTTCTGTCTACATGTAAAGTAACTGAAAAGTTGTCGGGTAAGAATATTTAGATGTTTTTCAACTGATACATGTTGAAAGTCCGCTCTACATTTTTTATTTATTTAAGTAACTAGGTAATAATAGAGTTTACGGCTAACATACGAAGCGATGTTACGATTTAGATTTTCTATCCTTATACACAAATAAATACAAACGGCTCTAAATGTTCATACGTACTATATTTATGTCGTGAAACTACTTTCGTTATTGATGAATGATCATTACATAAGGTAAAAATAATTTTGTAGAATGTGTGTACTATAATTAATCTGTAACGGTTCTTCCTGATAGTTGAACTACGTTGTTGCGATTTATATTATATTATTTAAATATGTGCGTAAGCATTGTTCTGAATGATCAGTTATTTGATAAACGATATTGTTTCATCATTACATGTGTGTGTACTTTTAAGTGAAGAAATACTTCATAATATTGTACCACTCTTATCTTAATCTCATTTAACTTATTATGTTTATTTATACGATCAGAAAACGTATATATATATATATATATATATATATATATATATATATATATATATATATATATATATTAATTAAGATTTCTGTGATTAGTATGCAACTATTCATATCGTTCAATAAAATATGACCTCTAACTTTCATATTGACGTTTTTATTACCGGTAATAGTGTTAAGCTGTGTATTTATTGTTACTCTGAATATTATGATTTTCGAAAGAAATCTCAAAGTGATTTTTCTTTCAGTATAGAGGTTGTGGAGATTATTAAGTTTTTTATTGAAATCATGAACCGATTGATGTTAGATCACCATTGAAAACCTGGAAGTACTGGACGGCCATTTCGTCCTATTATAGGACTCCTCAACACTGCGCATCCACAATCCCGCTCGGAGGATTTGAACCTGAGACCTTCAGTCTCGCGCGCGTATGCTTTACCTTTAGAGCACTGAGTCGGCATCCAATGGTGTTAGTGTCTAACATCAACCAATCCACGAAATTGCGCGAAAATCTTTCATTGTAATGAGGTAGATACCTGTCTCTACCCGACACGGATTAATTCCACTGATCACGGCTTCTTACTAGAACTTCGAGAATTCCCTCACGAAGCTAGTCACTAGTGAGTGTTTAAATCTTACAAACATTCACTTTGATACACTAATAAGATGAGGTTTAGAAATACGAATGTTAAAATAAAATGTGATTTGTAGATTTGGATAAATTCAAAATCTACCTTAAAACACTTCATCAACCTACTTATAGCTTAAGGTTATTACATATTAGGGAGTAATTATTTGACAAGTTTTAACTAAAGATGAGATTTCTTTTTAGAAATCTAAAGAGAATATAAAAAATTAGGGAAAATCATACTTAAAAGAACATCAATTATTGTAGTGTACAATGATATATGATTCCTACGTAAGATCTCTGGGCATGTAAAATTACAATAGAATGATAGTATAATAAAATGTGATCATAAAATAACAATAAGATAAACTGAAAAGAAGTTTACAGTTTCCATTTCCCATTTACATTGCTGCTTTTATTATAAAACTGATTTCCACTCTCTCTACTTATTTTAAAAAGGATTATTAAAAGTAAAAATTTAATAAATTTTTACATTATCAATTATGATAAATTCTAATTATTATTTAAGACATATTCAACATTATCCTTATCAAGCTGTCCATGAAAAATCCACAAAAGAGGTATATGAGTAGAATGTGATGTTATATAAAGTTGTCCCCAAATGCCCTGGTAGATCCAAGGATGTTGTTTACGAAATCGAGTGGACGGAAATCGAATGTCCGGCGCTTTAGCAGGGTTGGTGGATATGGACAGTCCACCTAGGAGAGCTGGAAAACCCTCTTTACAAACCAATAGTGTACATGGTCTCCAGGATCCTGAGGGAACAAATGAAGTATGAACCAATTGTTGGTCACTGGCTACCATGGGACTGCATCTCTTAACGTTGCTCCACTGCCTTGTGGATCGGGCCTTGAGGTTAAAGGCTCGGGGTATCGCCGCTTAAGAAAATCACGTGTTTCTGTTTTGGCAACCGGACAGTATCACAGCCCTCACATAAATCGAATGATTTATGTGGTGCTTATCTATTTGTTGCCTTCTTGTACCTATGTTCATGTGTTTAAATAAATAAAAGGTTGTAAGATTTAGTATAGATCCTTCCGTATTGTTCCCTTATTATTTCCTTGAAATGGTTGATAATTTATTATCAGAAAACTATGTAAATTATCAGTGCCAACTTCTCTTTTTTACTCATTTATTAGTCATTAGACTATTACCCAGACAATATTAAGGCTTTTGAAATTTCCTTAGAACATGTCATTATTTTCTCGAAATTAATCTATCATGCTTTTTTCTTTTATAAAAAGAATTATCCATTTCTGGTATTTATTCTAAAACTAACCATGAATTAAGATGGTGATTAGAAATAATCAACAGGAAACCCTGAACCTAGATTTCGTGCTACTTGGCACTCGTCAGTAAGACGTACTTGTAATCTTGAATGAACGGATAATCTCAGACGGATTCAATCCTGTATCATCCACCTTCACAGCTAGAATGAATTTAATTCATTTTTTTTTACAAATAACAAACACTTCAAATACTCATATCTGCATACAATATGCGTTTGTTTTAAATTGTTTTTTTCTCACCGTTGACTGTCAGCAAAAGTGGATTAGCCTGTTTCACCATGTATAGCACGCACTAGCAACATATATATATAATTGTAAAGTGTAAAAAAAATTTAGGGTGTATACTTTCAAATGTTACTCATTGATTGGAAATGTCTTATTAAGATTAGAATACTGTAAAGCGCATGATACAAATTAAATTTATCATCGTAGGTGACCGGATTTTCGAGTGCATTATTGTTATCGGAGCAAACACCGTTACAGTCATCAAACGTTTACGTTTTATTTATTTGAACACATAAATATTGGTACAAAGGGGTACTAAATAAATATGCGGTACACAAGTCACTTGTTTTATGTGTGAGCTGTAATACTGTCTGGTTGCCCAAACCAAAGCAGATGGTTTTCTTAGGGGGTCACACCCGAAGCCTTACGCCTAAAAATCTGATCCACAAGGCAG